GACTCGGGGCTCCATCCCACGAACCTCAAGGTGATGACCTGAGCCAAAATCAAGAGTTGGACGCTTAACTGGCTGAGCCACCCAGGCGCCCCAACCATGGAACTTTTTTAAACATACAGTGCTTGGGTCCCAGCTCTGGGATTCTGATTCATTAGGGGGTGGGACAGGAGCTGGACAGGTGAGCATCTCAGGTGACTCCAGTACAGGGAGGTAAGCCACTGAGCTAGGAGTTTCTGACCTTCTATGTCTTATTCTCTCTAATTTGTCTTATTTCTTATCCTACCTTGTCTTTGGAGTGAGACCGTTTCCTCTCTTCTAACACAAAGACTTTCAGTTTTAGGAGCATGGTTCTAGACGTTATAGTTTATGAACACTAATTCAGTCATCTTGGAACCTGATAATTTGCAGAAGAAAATGGCTTAGAATAAAGCTGGTTTTAGTGGAGTTAGGTCAACCCCTAGTGGTTAGAAACTCAAACTGTAGATAGTCTGACAACAGATATTACCACATTCACACTAGTTAGAGAAGAAAGCACTAGTCCTATCTTTAAATCCTGTGTAAACTGATCAGACTTCAAGATGACTTTGCAAAGTCGTCTTTTGCAAACATATACTAATAACGAATATTGGCATCTGTGAACAAATGAGGCTGGCAGAGAAAGGGGAAAGACTTGTTAATGACCGCAGGTCTCCTCAGCCTGCTTTCTTTCTGTCCAGAGAAACCCACCCCCAGCCCTTACAGCCCCTAAATCCCCAGGGCCTGGCCCTACTCCAGGCTGAGTCAGCGGGTGGAGCTGGACCAGGTCTCCAGTCCTGGTGTTTGTGGTATGCAGCCCTATTTAGCCTTTAAGAACCTATGATGTCAGATCCCAGAATGGTGTGACAACAGATCTTAAAATAAACTGAAAGCAGTCTATTATTTCAATGCAAGGTTTCTGGCCGATGTTTACATCATTCAGAGCAACAAGGACGAGTATCCTTGAGTTGGGGGAAAACCTGTCTGTCCACACTTTAGGGAGCTTTGAAGAGCAGTGAAATGTGGAGTTCCTCAACCGTGAAGAGATGAGAGGCCCCTCCCCAGATAACCTTCCTGCACTGATCCTCATCCCAGGCTACCTGGGCAGATTCCTGTTTGGGTCTGCACTAGGAACAGGATGGATTGAAATAATCCCCGTGCCTGGTGAAGCAAATGACAGGAATTCACACTTCATTTCTTAGGAGAACCAAACTGCCTAGTGACCTGAGACTCTGTAAAAGTGGCAGGTTTTACGTTCCCTTCTCACCCACAGACCAGCTACTATCTTGGTGAGTGTGTGCGTCAAGGTGGAAATCCTGTGACACTCAGTCTGTGTATGGGAACCTCGAAGCTATAAGCCAGTCCCCAGAACCAGGAAACTCCCAGGAGTAACTGAGAATGCCAGCAAAAATACCTCGTGGGGACTACCTTGCAGCCTGCTATGATTACCCCTTTACATAGAAAATATATATAGATTCTGAATAATAATGTATGGACATGGTAAAAAGTCAAACAGTGCAAAGTACACACAGGAAAGTCAGACTCCCTCCAAACACTGAGCCCCAAGATTTACGTTCCCAAGTCCAAATGCAGTGGTTGTTACTAGTTTCAGGCATATTGTTCTAGAGATGTTGCAAACACTGACGGACATATTTGTACAGTTTCTTTAAAAAAAAAAAAAAAACACAAGTTAAAAGTTAGCATATGATGCTGCGTGTTCCGTACCCTGTATCTTAAATCTAACCTTGGCTTCTAGAGGTCATTCAGCAACAGCACATTTAACAGTGCCTCAGTCTTTTAAATAGTTGCACGGTATCCCATTATACATATAGATAGATCTTCAAACACTTAATCATTTCTACTGGGCCTTTAGTGTTTCTTACCTTTTGTACAAACTACAGCATTTGTTCCTTATCACGATGGTTGGTAGGATATAAAATCTTTAGTCGTTTATGAATATTTCAGTAATGGATAAAATTACAATAAGAAAGGGGCTATAAACATGAAGCCTGTTTTTGGTCCCTAAAGCACTGATACTGGGCTTGTCTAAAGACAGGCAGCATGGCAAAGTTGTGAAAAGCTGGGCTCTGGAGCTTGCCCAGAGTTTGAATCCCAGCTCTACCACTTTGTAGCTGTGTAACCTTGGGTAAATCTGTGCCTCAGTTTCCTTTTTTTTTTTTTTTAATTAA